CGTACGTACGTACATCAGTTCGAGTTGCCATACCACATTAGCACAGAGATGCAGTTGTCGATTCAAATCCCATAGTGGTAGAAGTAGTAGGAGTATAATCAGAAATCCAAAAGATTAGGGGTTTGAAGAAATTATTGAAGGAGTATAGTACAGTGAAATAAATTTGGAAAGAGAAAAAAGATAAAGACATGAGGAATTCAAAAGATTAGAATTTGGTAGAACACAAAGACTGGATGCATCTTCGCCATTGCAAACGATTTTGAGCCATGGCATTCAAGGTCTCTAACCATCGGTTGCTGTCATCTCGCGAATCCCAACCAGGTAGTCTACACCTACCAACATGGCCCAGTCCACTTGTCAGTGACTTCATTGATTTGTGCCACGTTTTGGTCTGGCCGCCCCTAGCTTTCTTCCAACCTACTCCTACACCATGAAACATTGCACGTCGGGGCAGTCGGTGGTCGGGCATACGTAACACATGTCCCAGCCATCTCAACTGATGAAGTTTCACTACTTCATCAATCGATTTGCCATCCCTACCTAGTACTCGTTTCCTAACAACTGCATTACTTACCCGGTGGTCCCAGGATATACGAACAATGCGTCGAAGACACCTATGATCGAACACTAGTAGCCTACGAATATCCTCTACTCTTATTGGCCATGTTTCACTGCCATAAAGTAGGACGGAGCGAACTGCTGCACAGTAAACCCATCCTTTGATTACTAGACGGATATCTCGCCTACGCCATAAATGACGCAAGTTGGCGAAAGCTAGACGAGCCTTCTGTATCCGTGCTGAGATTTCGTCACATACCAGACCACAAGGGCTGATGAGACTCCCAAGATAAGTGAAGTGGTCTACACGCTCAACTACTTCACTCCCTATCATTAGTTCAGGTGTCGATGCAACCCAATCCTGAAGTAACATTTTGCACTTCGAGGGAGAAAATCGCATTCCGAACATGCCTGCATAGTTGCTTATAGTGGTCAGAAGACTCTGCATGTTGTCAGCGTCTTCACCGAGTAAAACTATGTCGTCGGCGTATTCTAAGTCAACAAGTGAGCCTCCTGGTAAAAGTTCAACTCCTGGAGGTTTAGCTGATGAAAGTGCTATCTCTAAAAGTATGTCAATGACAAAGTTAAACAAGAATGGGGAGAGTGGACAGCCCTGACGAACGCCACTTGTGGTAATCAGTTCTGATGACAGTTCGCCATAGGCTCTAACTCGACCAGTTGTGTTCGAGTAGAGAGCCTTTATGAGGTTAATGTACTTCTTTGGTACTCCTTTCAGTGACAAACATTGCCATAGAACCTCACGATCAACGGAGTCAAATGCCGCCTTAAGGTCAAGAAATACTACTATTGTGGGACGTCTGAATTTGTGTCTATGTTCTAGAACCTGACGTAGGGTGAATATCTGGTCTATGCAACCACGTCCAGGTCGAAAACCAGCCTGGTTTTCTCTAGTCTGCTCTTCACGAGCTTTGGTTAGGCGACCTAGTATTATTGAAGCTAATATTTTAGACACTATATTAGTCAAACTGATCCCTCTGTGATTGTCACAGGAGGACGTTTGTCCTTTCTTATAGACTGGCACAATCAGTGATTGGGACCAGTCAGATGGAATTACGTCCAGTTCCCAGATTCTACCTAAGACCTCAGTCAATCTCACTGCTAGTACTGGACCACCATCCTTAAAAATCTCAGGGGTCAACCTGTCAGGGCCTGCTGCTCTCCCTCGCTTCAGATTTCCTATAGCTTTTTCAACCTCACAGAGGGTTGGAGGACTTACATCAATTTTCCATTCAGGACGACTGGGGATCGTGGGTAATTGAAGTGTGGCTGAAGGCCAGTTGAACTGATCCCTAAAGTGTTCTGCCCATCGATCCAACCTCCTGGATTGAGAATGAATAATATGCCCATCTTTATCTGAGATGGTTTCACTGATATTCGGGTTCCTAATACCGGTTTCTTTAATGAGTCTGAATAGCTGTCTACTGTTACCTATTGCCGCTGCCTTTTCCATCTCTCTTGCTTTCGCTACCCACCACTGTTCACGATCATTACGTAGACTTCTTATAAGCCTGCGCTTAAGTTGACTCCGCTCTTCGTTATGCTCAGAGCCAGGTGGGATGAGTTTACGAGCATCTATCAGTGCGGTAGATGCTGCCGAGATCCATTGTTTCTCCCTAACCTTATGGTTTACCTTACTAGCGGATATCATTGCTGTTTCCACAGCTTTTCGGATGTCATTCATTTTGTCAGTGTCTTCAACATACAGGATTATGTCATCTGCGTATTCCAAGTCGATAAGTGTACCTCCTAGTTGGAGATCAATGCCGGAAAATTTAGTCAAGGAGAGTGTTATTTCCAGCAGTAGGTTAATGATGAAGTCAAACGAAAGTGGGGATAGTGGACAGCCTTGTCGGACATCACTTGAGGTTGTAAAATTAGATGACAGTTCGCCATAAGCTCTGACTCGACTGATAGCGTTCGGGTAAAGAGCCTCCACAAGGTTTATGTACTTCTGAAGTACAACCTTCAATAACATATATTGCCACAAAGCCTCACGGTCTACAGAGTCAAATGCTGCTTTTAAGTCAAGAGAAACTATCATTGTCGGACGCCGATAAGCATGCCTCTGTTCTAAAACACGATGAATAGTGAATATGTGATCGATGCAGCCACGACCAGGTCTGAAGCCAGCCTGATTTTCTCGTGTTTGCAGTTCACGAGTCTTAGTCAGGCGCCCGATAATTGTTGAGGCTAGGATTTAAGATGCTATGTTAGCCAAACTAGTCCCTCTATGATTATCACAGGATGATTTTGTCCCCTTATATATTGGGACAATCAGAGATAGTGACCAGTCAGATGGGATTACGTCCAAATCCCAGATTTTAGCCAAAATATTGGTCAACTTTATCACTAAAATTGGACTACCATATTTAAAGACCTCTGGAGCCAATCCATCTGGACCAGCTGCTCATCCTCGTTTCAGATTAGCTATAGCCTTTTGAACTTGAGCTAGAGTCGGGAAACCTACTTCACTGTTTCATTCAGGTTTCCTGGTAATATTGGGCAGTTGTACAGTAGCTGAAGGCCAGCTGAACTGCTCCTTAAAGTGTTCCGTACATCCTTGTAAACGCCTGAGCTGAGAGCATATAAGCGTGTCGTCTTTTTCCGAGATTGTTTCGTTTACACTTGATTTCTTAATTCCTGTTTTTTTTTATTAATCTGAAGAGTTGTCTAGTGTTGCCTACAGCCGCCGCCTTTTCCATTTCGTTGCCCACCACTGCTCACGATCGTTCCTTAGACTTTTAGTTAACCTAAATTTAATTTGTTTACGCTCTTCGTCGTGTTCAGAGCCTAATGGGATGAGTTTACGCGAATCCATCAGTGAAATAGACTTAGAAAAAATTCATTGCTGTTTTGGAACCCTTTGGTTTAAATTACTAATAGATGTTACTGTTGTTTCCACAGCTGTTCGTATATCTTTCCAAGCAACATCTGGGTCAGTCTCGTTTATAGAACTGCCTAGATGTGAACTCAGTTGTCCACGAAACTTACTTTTGGCTTTCTCATCGTCCAGTTCAATCCTAATGTGTCTTCTTGGTGTACTTTTTCTGCGTCCAGTAAGGTGCAAACAAATGCGTGCTCGTATTAAAGCGTGATCAGAGTCTAAACATGTATTCCAGTACGAGCGACAATCTTCTATCGAGCCTCTCCAACGATGACTGATGGCAATATGCTATATTTGAGTCCGTCGTTGGTTTAGTGCAGGTAGTCGCCATGTTAGACGATGTCTCTCCTTATGCTTAAAATTAGTGTTTGCTAAAAATAAATGATTGTCTGAGCATAGTTACAGCAGACGATCACCATTATCTGTTTGCTAAGCCAAATTACTAAAATACACACCTAAATATTCTTCTGTTTGGTTTTAGCCACCTAATTGGGCAATAAAGTCACCCGCTGCCAGTACTATGTCTGAGCGTTTAGCCTTTTGAAGAAGTTCAGAGAGCTTTCTGTAAAAGTCATCTTTCACTTTATCCGGGCTGCAGTCAGTGGGAACGTAAACAGAAACGACGTGTTTCCCTACTTCTTAGGTTAGCGTATTTGAAATGTGTATTGAGACCTTCAGAAAGACTCATAGTTTATCGTGTCGTTGGAATTTTGTTTGCAGGTGCAGCGTAAACGATTGGTTATATTTCTTCCAGCCCCCCCTATGAATCTGCTTGTCTGATTCGCGTTAAGTCGTAGACGCTGAAGACGCAAGTTTAGACGCCATAAGTGGTTTTCTAGAGCCAATCAAGTTTCATAATAAAGGACGGCTTCTATGAGCAACTACTCTATAACTTTAAATATCACATATAAGACACAATGTACAACAATAATTAGTCAGATTAAAATAAAGGCAATGATAAAATTCCTTTGCTACCTGCTCCCTCAAATTGAAACAGGTCGATTTCTTACAGGGATCTGTTTTTCTATTCACGCCCCCAAATGCCCTGGTACCGCCGAGAGTGGGGAGAGTTCGTTCTCCCTCTCGAAATGCTCTCACATGGCCACGCGAATATATAGCCTCTGCCAGGGAATTCCTACTCACTGCCTTCTCGTGGCGGGGGTGTTGTTCACGAAGTTGAGAGGACGAAAAGCGAATGTCCGGCGCTTTAACCGAGTTGGTGGACACGGAAAGTTCACCTAGTGGAGTTGGAAAACCCTGATTCCAAACCAATGGTGCACATGGGCTCCACTATCCTGAAGGAACAAATGGCGTATGAACCAATTATTTGGTCACCGGCTACAATGGGACTGCATCTCCTCACGATTCTCCACTTCCTTGTGGACTAGACCTTCAGATCAAAGGCTAGGGATGTGGCCCCCTAAGAAAACCACCTGCTTCAGCCTGGGCATCTGGGCAGTATCACAGCCCTCACACAAATCGAATGAGATTTGTGAGGCGCATATTTATCTGGTGCTTCCTTGTACCAATATTTATGTGTTTAAATAAATAAATAATAAATTTTCTATTCACAGAATCAAAACGGCTATATGAGTCACATCACATCAGCTGGTAATCGAAGCTCCATTTATATTTAACTAATTTAAGATTCGAAGGTTCTTGTAGCCGTAGATTTCTTATCAAATGAACTGGACTTATCTAATAAGCTGATTTCAGTATCAATAACTGGCTTTTGCGTTTTTGTTCTTATTGGAGGCGATAGTACTACGTAAGTACAACAGCACGGCTCCCTTGTTATGATTCTTCAACATCCATTCTTATAAAATAAAGGAAAATGAGCCGTAAATGGTCATTGTGGGGTATACCGTGTCAACAAATTTGATTACCCTTTAACATACTTGTTTGCTAATAATAAAACGAGCGTGTCTTGCTATTTTGGAATTAATCTAGTAAGTAGAATCAAATTATTATCTTAATTTTGTTCTATTCACTTCTCTTAATGAACTTTTTGTTGCCATTTCACTTCAGATAAATAACCGTAAATGAGTAAGAACGATTTCGGCGAATTATATGAAGCAACATCAAAGCACATAAAGCGGTTGATCATACTTGCTGATTCGAAAAAATATGCTACTGCGGAATTTGGTGAATCATTAAAATCATTTCTGAATAGTTACAGCCCTGAAGACGCACCAACAAATATAACAGAGTATCGTACAAAGGTTGCGGTAGATATATTGTCAAAGTTATCAGTTTTCAACAACCTTATATCTATTTATCGCGAATTAGGAAGAATGGCTATTCCTTTAAGTTATTCTACATTCAATCCACTCCCTTGTGAAAAATGGGTCCTCAAGCTGATGGAATTTCAACAATCATTGACTAATTATATGATCGTTAGCATAAGCTTCACACAGAAACTGATCAAATCTGATATATATTTGACGGAAGTACGGCGTATCTTACATGTCATCAGTACTATGAGAATGTCTGAGGTTTGAATCACTTTATTCTTAAAATATGCTATATTAGGCTATACTTCCACTAACAACTTTAATTATTTGTGCATTAAATACTGCATTAGCTTATGAATATAATTCTTTTACAAAAATTCTTAGAGACTATGGTCTACGTAATATTTTAACGCGCTATACTTGCCATGATCCAAAAATTAAAGTTTGTGGAATTATTTCCAGTTAATATTTATTTTCCAGTTGGCCATAAACATTTTTTTAACGTTTACCTATACTGATATCAGTCAACTTCATCTAAAAGAACAATATGTTGAACTTTTCGTGCAACAGTTCCATTATACTGTTATTGGAAGAAGAAAAAATCATTGTTTTGATGCCTCTATTCTCATCAAAGGTAGATTATTTGCAGACAATTATCATTTCCAAATAAATGCTGCGTTATCATTTTTAGTAATTTTATATTGATCAAAAGTACGGGGTATAGAAAATGGTGATATGATTTTCTGCGATGAAAATCAAATGTAAAATGAACTAGGACAGGATTCTAGCGACAGGCACTGGGTTCAAGTCTCTTTAAAGACATCAACATTGAGATGAAGGTAAACCTGAGTCCCAAGTAGGATAAAATCTGTATCCTGGATTTTATTGCTAGCTACATATCAAACCTGACATGGATTATTTCTATTTATTGAAGTTTTTATTGTTAGTATAGCAGGTGTACTTTATTTGTTTCATTTGTTTGATTAATGGATATTAATTCGATTATATAATCACTTCTATTGATACCTAATTCTTTTCTAACTGGTCCTAGATATGAATGTATTTGGACTGGATCTTATATTCTTCTTCATACCTCATTCTAATATTTAGTTTCTTAAACAGACAGAACGTAGTATGCATTGATTAAAAAAGATCGCTATGGCGAGTTTACTTATTGGTATTTCCTCTTTAGTACTTGAACCTCCTTGCGAAATTGTGTAGTGCTGATACCGGTGACCCAGTTTGACTGTCTGTGAATTTTAATCATGTAGTTCAGTTTTTCTAATGAATGTGAACGACAGCTGTGTAATACTTAACTTTAGTTGATCGTCGCGTATAGTGTAACACGTATATGCAACGTTGTAACACCTGTGTATGGTGGTTATAAATCTTGTTAAATTAGCGATAATAAACTGTTTATGTCATCAGTAATTATAAATGTGGGCTGGACAGTCACGTTTGAAATTAAGTCGAAGGTATTAATCATGTAAATATTAAGATATATATGGTTTAACTGATAGTCAATTCGTTAATCGCTTTAACTGAGTTGGTGATCTTAAAAACAACTTAAGATTAATAGGTTCAAATTAGCCGCTTCTTTAGTATTTAATGGTGGAAGGTATGCCAACTTATAGATACTAATGATACGAAACCTCAAAGCTTTAGCCAACTAAGTGAAATGATAAAGGACTTTTCACTGATTTTTTTGCTTGAGTGCAGCCAACAATATGGTGATGAACTGGTCGAACAGATTTTATTTTAACCATTTAATTGGCTTGTTTGTTAGAGGTGTTAATTAATTTTTACAATTGGTCGGTGTGGTCTAAACAAGATGGCTTAATTATGAAGCCCGAATCGGGTAGAAAAAAGTTGAAAAAAATTTCAAAGGTTTTAAGAAATTTAGCGAATTTCCTAACTGTCGCCTTTCAGTTCAATGAATGTGATAATATCGTTGTAACTTGATCAAAGCACTTGTATACCTGCTTATTATAATCTCTGGAATCTGATTACTTACTACTGTATTAAAGATCGATATTATTCGGTTGGAGCAAAAGGGTAAGGTTGCATATGATGACGTTTATCATTCACAAGCCATTAGTCCACAACTAATTCAACCACTAATCGAAACTTTATCGAAAATTACGAGTTATGTATAGTTTACTTATATGGTCAATAGTCAAAACCAAATACTTTGGATTAATCGATAATCTAACTATTATTGTTTCTTATCAAATATGGGTCAAACCTACCTGAAAAAATTTTTTTTTTATAAGATAAATAATTAATAAACGTAGACAATAAAGTATGCAGTCACTAAAACTGCCAACACATAATGTAATTGTTAATAGTAAGACTTACTACTACAGGAGACAAATAAGTCCTCATGTTTCTAATTTTCACTATCATTTTACAGCATAAAACTACAAGCGTTTCAACCAAACTGTTTGCTTACGAACTTTTCTTCACTATGCAATTCAATCTGAATAAATTACTACTAGCTATAATTTCAAGTGCGCTTATTCTGTATCGTATCAGTGTCTTTTTGTTGCAAATTTAGAATGAAGTGTACAAATTGGTACTTTTTTTCCAAATAATAGTGCTCCGTCTTTTGGCTCTAAACTCTGAAAACAGAATTGAGCTTGTCAATCGTGATATCGTGCATCACTTGATATTGTTACCTGATTCTCAGTCATATGGCACAAATGAATTATCAACTACTATACATATCTTATCATCAAACGTTCCAGTTATTGATGCTACCCAAGAAATATTGTCACTAGCAGAAGCATATCGCAGTAACATAGCTGAATTGGAAGAAAAAGTTCGAACATATTTTGAAGGTGTTAGTATTGATGAATTCTTACTTCCAACTGAACCTGATATTGGTGATGACCAAAGTGGTACGTGAAAACACTGATTCAGTCATGTTTTTTCATGCTATTATATCACATATAAAAAGCAGGATTATTAAATTCATCTCATACACCAGTCTAAGCAATATTAATAATGATGAAATCTTATTTAACATAGAGAGTATGACTATACTATCAATACGAATGTGTTGAGGGTGGTCAGGTTTTTGTTTTTGCAATTTATTTCTGATAATACTGAATCAGCACTTTTATTCCGTTAAATCTTGAAATTTGTTTGCCGTTTGACTCTACCACAAACAAAATGCTCTTTTCTGACTAGCATGATATTTCATACACTATTTTATCCCAGTCCCCTCAAAGGATCTGTAGTTAAATTTATACTATATACCTTGACAGCTTACGTTGGTGAATTTTTAATCTTCCAGTCATCATTTCAGTTGTTTTTTTAATTAGTTGGGTGTTAGAAAATAAAATAGAAAGTTTCCTACATTGTATATTACTATGCCCGATCATAAGCACTTCTCTATGGACACTTCCACGTTCAATAACGTTGTTAATTGACTAGTTGACAAGTGCCGGTTAATGTCCATCTAATCCTTTTACAATTAACCATAGTATTAAATGCTGTCAAAATATTACAGAAACACTCTTTGACTTATGAAATTTTTGGACCTTGGTAATTCCCATGGTTACAGTCATTTAGAACTTGACGAAACTGAATGAATAAGAATTACACATCTAACGAATAAAGTAAATATTTTTGACTCATTTATAACTGACTGGTTTGGAAAGTAAATTGTTAGAAGGTGATGTAGAAAAATGGAGTTCATGGTTTAACAAGTTAGTCACACTACATACTTTCTACACGTGTTTCAGTTTTACAGCCTGATCAAAGTAAAACGTTAAGTATACGATTGTCCAAATAAGGAAATATAATCCAACCAACGGGAGTACATTCGGTTTACTGGATAATAGAATATGTTAAAGTATTAAAGACACGGTTCGAAACGGTTGTTCACCAACCCAGATTATTACTTAAGACATCCTTCTAATTTTATAAGTTTTACGGAGTTCTAAACTGCCGTAAAATCTTTTTGACACTGATATGATTAACTACATTTACCTTTCATGGTAGTCGGGACTAAGAATATTTGTCCTCAATATAAAGACTGTTAACTAAGTCTACTAAATTCACAGACAAAGGGAGGGTAAATTTGTTATCTACTCATTAAACTGACCAGTTTTGGTCATATTAGACGATTTAAAGTAAATAACTTAAACGTTGGGGATGGTATTAGCCAAACAAACAATCGATTTGTGAGAAGTAATATATATACATCGATAAGTTTTACTTCTTATCAAAGGATAAGAATTCAAGTTTGTAGTTATGAAGTTCGCGTGTTGTGATCGTGGGACTTAGAATTCACCAATATGTGATATTGTTTATGCAGCGCTCATTCTACATAGTAATTTTAGAATGAAGTTTCTTTAAATTCTCTTATGAATGCTACATCAGAACAGAAAAGAGAAGACTGTTGGTTCAGTTATTTTGATGCGAAGCTAAGGGAAGAATTGGTGCGTACATCGTCGTCATGGATTCTACTATCAAGGTATATATTCGATAGAAATATAGTGAGCTGCAAATTAGCGGTGTAGGACACGCAATTCCTATCATTTTGCTAGACCAAATCAGCTATTATGAGTCTTAATCGGTTGTTACAATTATATAACGGAATTTTTTCAGAATAGAATTTGCTAAACATGCACATTTGAATTATTATTTTATAGAAGATACACCATCTGTCGTGGTAGAAGAAGGAAATACCTACCATCTGGATGGACATATTATGATAAGCTACAGTCATAACGATTACAAAATAGCACTTAAAATTAAAGAAAGCTTGGAAAATGAGGAAATCAAGGTATTTTATTTGTCATATATATATATATATATCCAACAGGAATTCATCATCTGCATAATGTTTCCTTTTGCCTATCGTTATGTCTTCCTAACTGTAAGCTGTCATTCAACTCATTAAATGTTGATAATTCGTTCACCTCTTTAAAATTACTGGTAATGAATTATACTTCTTATAGTTGAAAGCATGAGTCAATTGAAGCTAGACCACCATGAAAAACCTGGAAACACTGGACGGCCGTTTCGTCCTATTATGGGACTCCTCAGCAGTGCGCATCCACGAACCCGCTCTCGCAAGATTCGAACCCAGGACCTACCAGTCTCGAGCCGAAGCCCTTAACCGATAGACCACTGAGCTGGCATCCAACGGTGTTAATGTCTAACTTCAACTGATCCACGAAGTTGAGCAACCATTCACCAATCGTCTTCAGTGAGTTCCTATCTCATAACAGAAGTGGTTTTGAACTCCACTGGTCACTGCTTCTCACTAGAGCTCCTAGATATACTTCTCGAAGTCACTGGTGAGCATATAATGAGAGAAAACTATTGTTTCACTTCTCATAATTTAAAGTAAATTCAAAACTAGTCTGTATACATCTTATATATTTATTTCTTTTCAATTAGATCGTCATCAGGCTTTACTCTAATATACATAAGTATTTATATGAAAATGTTAGACCAATCAAGGCTATTTGAGTAAAGCCTGATGACGATCTAATTGAAAACAATTGTTCGCTTACATATGTTGTTCTAATTTTCACCATGAGAATCTTTAATATATTTATTTCTGTCTATTTTCTCAGTTATGGATTGACATAGAACACATGGTTCAACATATTAATATTTTAGATGCTATGGCAAACGCTGTAGAAAATGCTGCTATCGTATTAATACTTTTTTCGAAATCATACCAAGATAGTGATAATGCTAGATCAGGTAAGTACAAACCTGATTAAATACTACATAAAAATAATATTAACGAGATATTTATTAAAACTTCGTCAAGAAATATTAATCCAACTCAACAGGAGAAACAAAACTAAGCATAGATACTAGCAAACTAATCATCCTGCTATGCATAAAAGACAATTCATAAATTACAATGAGATTATTAAAACCTTTCCGAATCGGTGTTTCACATAAACTTCAATACAAATTGAAGAAAATGACTTTTTTTTCGTACTTTTTACTTTGTTTCTTGATGTACATATTATCTATGACTTTCTTTCAACATTTTATGACATATATCTGTATTCTCATCAGTAATATTTATATCTGTCTATTTTCTCAGTTTTGGATTGACAAAGAACACATGGTTCAAGATGTTAAGATTTTAGATGCTATGGCAAACGCTGTAGAAAATGCTGCTATCGTATTAATACTTTTTTCGAAATCATACCAAGATAGTAAAAATACTAGAGACGGTATGTACATGACTAATTTCTGTATTCTACAAAACTAATTGTTGTTTATACATTACCTGTACAAATGTGTCTGTTTCGGCCACTCAGACAGTCATAAGTAACATGGAACTTGGGACATATGAGCAGATCTGTTGATGTCACCTTATCACTCACCCTTTTAGTCGAACTGAGACTTATAATTGTTTTTCGATAGGTATTTACGACATACACCTTGTATTCAGATTGAATAATCTTCGAATCCATTATCTGTATACAATAATGTAAATTCCGAAATTCCTCTCCAAAAGTTTCTTCATTGTTTGCAGCTGTCGTACAATTAAATTTTGCTTACTCATTTTTTGTTGTATAAAGAGTTTCTCTAGGTCATTTTTTCTCCATCTACGGATTCTTAAGTTTGGCAAGGAAGAAGAAGAAACCGTCATTCTTCTGTCAGCTAGCTTTATGCCTGAACCTTTCTCTTGTTTTTCGATATTCATCGCTATATGGACTACTCAGATGAATGAATGTCTTGATATTATTTTGCTTGAGCACGGATTATATTCTTTTCACTGGTTAGCTTGGGTATTTTGGGTAGAAGTTTCACTGTTTGAGACGCATTAGTTAAAAGTATTTCCTTTTCAATGCTGTTATTCCCATTGAGATTTGAACATAATGCTTATCAGTTTAAACTTCAGATTATTGTCAAATAAATAAATAAGAATAAAATATATAGTGTTCAAACATTATATTCATGAGGAATCAACTAATTTCTAACACATTGTGTCTTGTCGCCAAAATTCATTAGTGATTCATTTGTAATATCCAACAGCATCTTTCCTGAAAGCTTACGCTATCCCTCATGCTTAAGATCAACAAAGTTTAAGTTAATATCTTGACACCATTATTTAAACTAATGTTGCATGATGGTCCTATGCTACCTTCGATTTAGTCACCAACCCACATCTACCTAGATGGACATCAACCTAGTACGTAGAACAAACATATTCCAACCATCATAAGTCACATTGACACCCAAATAGAAATGCTATATAATGTGTTCTAATTCACTAGACCAAGCGTTTTATTTCACCTCCATTTAATTATAGTAGTAATCGGTAGGTATCGAGAGTTCATACTTGACTGAATCGATTCAAGTGTAATTAATTATTCTTCTGTCTTCTTCTCTTCATACTTCACACGCTGCTAAAGGTGTAAGATTACCAAACAAATTTTCCAGATCAGTGGGGACTCTCCATCTGTAAGTATTGATGCTTACATCAAAACCGCATATTCAATGCATAAATCCAAAATCGTTCTATCTATCTACCTATCAGTTTTTACTACTTCCCTGAAACGAGAACAGTGTAATGTTGTTAGTGTTCCTAACATCTACCAGGTTATTCTCAACCACTTGATGTAAAATGCACATACATAGGTTGTTCTATGTGCATGTTCCTATTTCTAGTTTAAAAGTTCTTATTTACTCGTAAGAGTTTTACGATAACTGTACATCCTGTACTCGATTTATTTTTATCTGTTGTAGACTAATGTAATGAGTAAATGTGTTTATCACTAGTTATTTTATGCAAATAATTGACAGCAATATCGTCCATGATGTGATTACGTTCTTGTGCAAATCGATCATCGTCATTAGCTACATGTTTATGGATCCCGATGTATATCGATATTCCATAGTGATGCAAGCCTAGGTGTCATGTAGATTGTCAGTGTTGTTTTATTGGATAGAACTTCTCTTACAGTGAATACTGTCTGTATGTACGTGGTTCTATTGCTGATGCTCTCGTATGTAACCTACATTTTGAAAGATTCGCAAACTTAGAGGATTGAATGCGAATCCTTCAGTTCTGTATATTTTCCATTGTACCAACAATGCGCAAATATATAATTCAAAACTAAAGTCAATCGTGATTTCCACGTTTCTAATATTACCATACTTTTTCGCTTCTAACTTTTTTGGAAGTGATTAGATCCAATATATGTTTCAAGACAACAGCCCGAACAAATGTCTATACAGTTTTATTCAAGAATTTCATAGGATATTTATAGAATATACAAGGTTATTTAACTAAGAAATTGCCTTATCCTTTTGTAAACTTTACCAGCGTTGATTGCTTGAAAGAGAAACGGTTGAAATGCACGAATCATTAAACATATAGAGACAGTTCGTTGGAAGTCGGTTCTCCTAACTCTCCCAATTTGACAGGAAACACAGGATCTATTATACTAGTTTACTTGAAACTAGTGGACACTTTCGAACTGTTTGCTTTGATAATGGATATACAGTTCTGTCCTTTTTGTGTGCCAGGTCAATATCCACTATGGTTTACAAGAAAATTTCGAATGACATTCCAGAACAGTCCCTGAAGCCGTAGATTTGCATCTTATTTGGTGCTGCTACAGTATCGTGGGTGGTGTCTGTTAGCCTCTGTGTCAACAATCTACGAAATATCGAACTACAAGCAGCTGATAAAGTGATTTGAATTAACCAATAGTGGTTGTTGATCGCTACATGAAACTGACGTTGTTACAAATTGACTTCATCACTCCGAGTCGTAGACTATGAAGTAGAATTCCCTTCTTCGTATCTGAAAACTGTTTATAATCTGTTAGAAGCGTGAAGATACTAATGAAAAGCATTTATGATCACTTATTGAATGATATTTTTACCAGATGTGAGTGAATAGTCGCAGCACATCGTAAACTATCAGTGTTGTTTTAATATTATATCACATTTCATTTTAAAGAAGCTGAACGCACTCGACAACTAAATAAACCAGCTATTTTTCTTCGTGTTGAGCCGAAGTTTGTTGCAAGTGGTTGGCTGGGTTTCATAATGGGCGCGACTCGTTATATTGACTTTTCCGGGAAATATCCGTTTGAGGAAAAATTTGAAGAATTATGCACTACAATTGTGAGTTTGAAAGATTTGAAATGGTATAACTGCATTTTTAGTGTCTCTTGTGTTTTATCTCCACTTCTGTCTAATCTGGTGATTTTCCAAACAATACTAAGAGTGGGGTTAGGAACTATCATGTTACCTATGACCCACCCGCTAAGGCAAGGGAAGCCACTTGATGATCATTTATCTCAAAATTTTAAGTCGAAAATCTTTCCACTCAGTACCGTATTCCTGAACACTTCCAGCCTGTTCATTAAGTATTACCTGTAAATCAAGACATTGTTTAGCCGATGAAATATTCGTGTCGATAAGAGATTTAGAACATTCAGTGCCAACTATTAGAGCTAATCAAATGACATCTGTGATTCTCATGAACTGTATGTTGGTTTACCGTGCACGTCTTCAAAAACAGATTTCACTGGTCAAAACTCCTGAATCTCATGAAATAGACGTATGAATTGTTTGTGGAGAAAAACATAAACGTCATCTTGTAGTTATTTACTCGACCTCATTCGCTCAATGTGATCAACCTGGACTACTCACTTTTGTGGTATATTGTGTTCATTGACCTCTTATCATGTATGAACTTAGTATAATCTCTGGTGAAGTAAAGCACGCTTTTCAATTCGATTTTATTCACTAGTCACTTATGAACTGACTGGCTAGGTTACACAGCAAAATTAGACAGGCGAAATGTGCGTTGTTGAAAGTGTTTAGGCTCTGACCATTTCTCGCCGATTGAACATTGGATAATAGCTATCTGAGCTCCTACATATAGTCAAATGTTCATAAATGGTGCCGGTAGTGGAGAGAACAACATTGAAGTAGATAGACCAAGCTTTGTATAAAAGTACCGAGTTGACGCTTTCTGAATTTTATTAAGTTGAGATTATAAGTCAATTGAAGCTAGACCACCATCGAAAACCTGGAAGCACTGGACGGCCGTTTCGTCCCACTGTTTAACTCCTCAGCAGTGCGCATCCACGATCCCGCACTCACGAGAATTCTGATTTCTCATTTCAGTAGGTAAATGTTGGGAACGTTCCGCTGTAATTATGCTTCGGTAATAGAGATGGCAAACTCCGCCTGTAGCTCTTCTAGAGTTACTGCCGGTCCCAAGCCCGGGTAAAGGAGGAGGGTTGGGCATGGGGTTAGCGACCCCATCCCGTAGAAAAGCTAACTCGCTAAAAAAACGCTAACCAGAAAGAAAAATAGAGATGGCAACAGTTCTACGTTACAGAAGGCAGTCACCCAGTCTAATTGGGTAACCTAAACTTAGGAAGTCATTGATTATTCGGCCTATCATGAAAACATGTGAATCAGTGATTAAATTGACCAACAAATATTTGCATAATGCTCACTAGGACTTCTGAAATAGCTGTTGAAACGTAAGTTCAAAGTTGAAGGCGCATCGACGAACCTTTCTGTTATATCGTGTGAACTCGTAATATATATGAACGTGCAATTAGAGAGGTAGTGGATATAACACTTTCATCTTTAGTCAAGTGGTAACTCGAGCAAGATGTTTGACTCAATGTTCATACTTGACTCTGTTGATCAATAGGATTAGTGGTGGTGTCTGTTAGTGTGAAGAACGTAAACAATTCATACTACACTACTGAACTGTGCATACTTAAACATCGGAACTAGTCTTGATCTATGCTTAGGGTGACACTAATAACTGAAGCCATAAGGAGCATTCACTACATCATTTACGTTGGTACTCATAATAACTCATCCCTATATGTATACTTATTCCAGTTAGAAACATCACTCTCCCATTCGGAAGAAGTTTGGTTCTGTAATTGAGTTTCCAGTTAATTTTGTAATATGTAATTGAATATATTCATGAATTCGTACACACGCATATTGTTTATCTTCGTTACTGTAGCACAATATTAGTCGTGGATCGATCATTGTAAAACCCAAGAAACCAAAGTATGTTGCTTGCATACTGGCTAGTTGATTTTTTTTTGATTGTTTGTTCAGTTTCCTTTTGAATTCTAATTGTAGTTCCATAAATTTTTGTGAGTGAAATTGTTATTCTAGTAAAAATATGAAATATCAGTTCATTCTGTGTTTTAAACCCAAGTTAGCTAATCTCAAAGTTGTATCGTACTCAATTAAACGAACAATTTTGTATTACACGATTTCTCACTAGATATTACCGTTTTGACTAAAGGGAACCAGAATAAGATGCAATATTTTATTTGTAAACAGTGTTAATATGTATTAAATGAGGAGCTACCTATCATAATCTCTGAATGTTTTTCGAGAGGGCTTGCTCACTTGTTCATCAAACTCCATCAATATTTATGAGATCAAGATACACAAGAGTTCAAAACCTCCGGAGTTGGTTGCCATCTGAACCACAAACATAGTCGACTAAGTAAAGCGCCTAAATTATATTTTCGAGTAATGAGCATCTGTATATGGTATATTTAGAGTACTCCGCCATTATGGAGTCTGATTAGGTGTTTCATAATGGAATTCAGTTGCCGTTAAAGTATAGGATGTATTTTGTTGATTGTTTCCCATTCACTTCCAGTGGAAAAAGGTGTTGTGGATATTTCATGTGTTTGGGTATTCACAATTTCTGGATTTTGTCAGAGCAGTAATTTCGACTTCCTATATTTACATTGATTGACGTGGAACAATATCATTTGAATTGATAACTTCTCTATTTTGTAACTACACCTTATCTAAATTAGCCCATTCTGTTTCTTTTCTTCCAGAAAAAACACAAGAATATGCATGCGTTTCAATGTGAAGAAATGGAGATTCAAAAAGTACTGGGTCCAACTTAAAAACCTACTTTGATCAGCTGGAAATCCTTCTCCTTTATGTTTTTTTTTACTCTAATCCGTTTATTGTTTATAAATGATTTTACTATCAGTGATCAGAAACTTTACTAACGCTTATTTAACTTTAATTTTTTCTATCACATTGAAATATAATATAATGTATTCTATGCGACATTTGATCGTTGTTTTGGAAAGAATAATTGGTATATAATAATTTAAATCAGTAGAACAGGTTTTTTTACTATAACGTAAAAAGTGATGTATGACTGTTGTTCTGACGAGTAAAATAACCATGGCATTTTGTGGCATTAATGGTTATATTCAGTGAGAAGTGTCAAGGTGATATAACTTAAATGACAATGGTGATTAGATAGTGGTTCATAGCGTTAAATGTTTTGTAGTAATTCTGCAACCGAGTTTGTTTAGTTGGTCACAGTCAATAGCGGTGACAACAAAGCAGAGGTCAGAGTTATGGAATGTGTGATTAAGTGTCTTGCACTGTTGATGACACATGTAAAACTATCCTATTGATCACAGGAAATAACGGGAACGACATTATTAGACTGCTTAGATTTAGAGATTTTGGCAATCTATTTCGAAACCCCACATTACCTTAAAATAATGTTTTTCCTCTATATTTTCGAAATATAATTTTAGGCAACTCATGAATATACATCATAAATTCTTTTAGATGTTACCAGCCACTGACATGCTTGGAGTATTTCTGCAAGGTTCTAGGGCATGTAGAACAAAAGGAGTAATCACAATTCCCGGCAAATAGTTTCGGTATCCATGTATTGAGTTTACTTTATTAACACTGTACAGATTTCTAAACAATGCCTTCAAACCGGTCCAGTAATATACGTGTGTGCATAAATTTCAAAGATAAGTTTGATTCAACCAAACTAAAGTTCTGAACCGCAAGAGTTTGTGAAGACATTCAAAACCAAAGTAGCTATGGTCAAAAATTTTGCTCGAGTTGCCATCTGATTTACGATGACGGGTTCGTCGATACGCCTTCAACTTTGAACTTACGTTTCAACAGCTATTTCAGAAGTCCTAGTGAGCATTATGCAAATATTTGTTGGTCAATTTAATCACTGATTCACATGTTTTCATGATAGGCCGAATAATCAATGACTTCCTAAGTTTAGGTTACCCAATTAGACTGGGTGACTGCCTTCTGTAACGTAGAACTGTTGCCATCTCTATTGCCAAAGCATAACTACAGCGGAACGTTCCCAACATTTACCTACTGAAATGAGAAATCAGAAAGCGTCAACTCGGTACTTTTATACAAAGCTTGGTCTATCTACTTCAATGTTGTTCTCTCCACTACCGGCACCATTTATGAACATTTGATTATATGTAGGAGCTCAGATAGCTATTATCCAATGTTCAATCGGCGAGAAATGGTCAGAGCCTAAACACTTTCAACAACGCACATTTCGCCTGTCTAATTTTGCTGTGTAACCTAGCCAGTCAGTTCATAAGTGACTAGTGAATAAAATCGAATTGAAAAGCGTGCTTTACTTCACCAGAGATTATACTAAGTTCATACATGATAAGAGGTCAATGAACACAATATACCACAAAAGTGAGTAGTCCAGGTTGATCACATTGAGCGAATGAGGTCGAGTAAATAACTACAAGATGACGTTTATGTTTTTCTCCACAAACAATTCATACGTCTATTTCATGAGATTCAGGAGTTTTGACCAGTGAAATCTGTTTTTGAAGACGTGCACGGTAAACCAACATACAGTTCATGAGAATCACAGATGTCATTTGATTAGCTCTAATAGTTGGCACTGAATGTTCTAAATCTCTTATCGACACGAATATTTCATCGGCTAAACAATGTCTTGATTTACAGGTAATACTTAATGAACAGGCTGGAAGTGTTCAGGAATACGGTACTGAGTGGAAAGATTTTCGACTTAAAATTTTGAGATAAATGATCATCAAGTGGCTTCCCTTGCCTTAGCGGGTGGGTCATAGGTAACATGATAGTTCCTAACCCCACTCTTAGTATTGTTTGGAAAATCACCAGATTAGACAGAAGTGGAGATAAAACACAAGAGACACTAAAAATGCAGTTATACCATTTCAAATCTTTCAAACTCACAATTGTAGTGCATAATTCTTCAAATTTTTCCTCAAACGGATATTTCCCGGAAAAGTCAATATAACGAGTCGCGCCCATTATGAAACCCAGCCAACCACTTGCAACAAACTTCGGCTCAACACGAAGAAAAATAGCTGGTTTATTTAGTTGTCGAGTGCGTTCAGCTTCTTTAAAATGAAATGTGATATAATATTAAAACAACACTGATAGTTTACGATGTGCTGCGACTATTCACTCACATCTGGTAAAAATATCATTCAATAAGTGATCATAAATGCTTTTCATTAGTATCTTCACGCTTCTAACAGATTATAAACAGTTTTCAGATACGAAGAAGGGAATTCTACTTCATAGTCTACGACTCGGAGTGATGAAGTCAATTTGTAACAACGTCAGTTTCATGTAGCGATCAACAACCACTATTGGTTAATTCAAATCACTTTATCAGCTGCTTGTAGTTCGATATTTCGTAGATTGTTGACACAGAGGCTAACAGACACCACCCACGATACTGTAGCAGCACCAAATAAGATGCAAATCTACGGCTTCAGGGACTGTTCTGGAATGTCATTCGAAATTTTCTTGTAAACCATAGTGGATATTGACCTGGCACACAAAAAGGACAGAACTGTATATCCATTATCAAAGCAAACAGTTCGAAAGTGTCCACTAGTTTCAAGTAAACTAGTATAATAGATCCTGTGTTTCCTGTCAAATTGGGAGAGTTAGGAGAACCGACTTCCAACGAACTGTCTCTATATGTTTAATGATTCGTGCATTTCAACCGTTTCTCTTTCAAGCAATCAACGCTGGTAAAGTTTACAAAAGGATAAGGCAATTTCTTAGTTAAATAACCTTGTATATTCTATAAATATCCTATGAAATTCTTGAATAAAACTGTATAGACATTTGTTCGGGCTGTTGTCTTGAAACATATATTGGATCTAATCACTTCCAAAAAAGTTAGAAGCGAAAAAGTATGGTAATATTAGAAACGTGGAAATCACGATTGACTTTAGTTTTGAATTATATATTTGCGCATTGTTGGTACAATGGAAAATATACAGAACTGAAGGATTCGCATTCAATCCTCTAAGTTTGCGAATCTTTCAAAATGTAGGTTACATACGAGAGCATCAGCAATAGAACCACGTACATACAGACAGTATTCACTGTAAGAGAAGTTCTATCCAATAAAACAACACTGACAATCTACATGACACCTAGGCTTGCATCACTATGGAATATCGATATACATCGGGATCCATAAACATGTAGCTAATGACGATGATCGATTTGCACAAGAACGTAATCACATCATGGACGATATTGCTGTCAATTATTTGCATAAAATAACTAGTGATAAACACATTTACTCATTACATTAGTCTACAACAGATAAAAATAAATCGAGTACAGGATGTACAGTTATCGTAAAACTCTTACGAGTAAATAAGAACTTTTAAACTAGAAATAGGAACATGCACATAGAACAACCTATGTATGTGCATTTTACATCAAGTGGTTGAGAATAACCTGGTAGATGTTAGGAACACTAACAACATTACACTGTTCTCGTTTCAGGGAAGTAGTAAAAACTGATAGGTAGATAGATAGAACGATTTTGGATTTATGCATTGAATATGCGGTTTTGATGTAAGCATCAATACTTACAGATGGAGAGTCCCCACTGATCTGGAAAATTTGTTTGGTAATCTTACACCTTTAGCAGCGTGTGAAGTATGAAGAGAAGAAGACAGAAGAATAATTAATTACACTTGAATCGATTCAGTCAAGTATGAACTCTCGATACCTACCGATTACTACTATAATTAAATGGAGGTGAAATAAAACGCTTGGTCTAGTGAATTAGAACACATTATATAGCATTTCTATTTGGGTGTCAATGTGACTTATGATGGTTGGAATATGTTTGTTCTACGTACTAGGTTGATGTCCATCTAGGTAGATGTGGGTTGGTGACTAAATCGAAGGTAGCATAGGACCATCATGCAACATTAGTTTAAATAATGGTGTCAAGATATTAACTTAAACTTTGTTGATCTTAAGCATGAGGGATAGCGTAAGCTTTCAGGAAAGATGCTGTTGGATATTACAAATGAATCACTAATGAATTTTGGCGACAAGACACAATGTGTTAGAAATTAGTTGATTCCTCATGAATATAATGTTTGAACACTATATATTTTATTCTTATTTATTTATTTGACAATAATCTGAAGTTTAAACTGATAAGCATTATGTTCAAATCTCAATGGGAATAACAGCATTGAAAAGGAAATACTTTTAACTAATGCGTCTCAAACAGTGAAACTTCTACCCAAAATACCCAAGCTAACCAGTGAAAAGAATATAATCCGTGCTCAAGCAAAATAATATCAAGACATTCATTCATCTGAGTAGTCCATATAGCGATGAATATCGAAAAACAAGAGAAAGGTTCAGGCATAAAGCTAGCTGACAGAAGAATGACGGTTTCTTCTTCTTCCTTGCCAAACTTAAGAATCCGTAGATGGAGAAAAAATGACCTAGAGAAACTCTTTATACAACAAAAAATGAGTAAGCAAAATTTAATTGTACGACAGCTGCAAACAATGAAGAAACTTTTGGAGAGGAATTTCGGAATTTACATTATTGTATACAGATAATGGATTCGAAGATTATTCAATCTGAATACAAGGTGTATGTCGTAAATACCTATCGAAAAACAATTATAAGTCTCAGTTCGACTAAAAGGGTGAGTGATAAGGTGACATCAACAGATCTGCTCATATGTCCCAAGTTCCATGTTACTTATGACTGTCTGAGTGGCCGAAACAGACACATTTGTACAGGTAATGTATAAACAACAATTAGTTTTGTAGAATACAGAAATTAGTCATGTACATACCGTCTCTAGTATTTTTACTATCTTGGTATGATTTCGAAAAAAGTATTAATACGATAGCAGCATTTTCTACAGCGTTTGCCATAGCATCTAAAATCTTAACATCTTGAACCATGTGTTCTTTGTCAATCCAAAACTGAGAAAATAGACAGATATAAATATTACTGATGAGAATACAGATATATGTCATAAAATGTTGAAAGAAAGTCATAGATAATATGTACATCACGTACCAAAACCTGTATGCATCTATGCGATAAACGCGATCAATCCGTAAATTCCTTTATAGAAATCTGTCTTGATTAGTATCAATGCCAAGATTGAACTTGATTGTTTCAAATGAATTGAGTATTGGGTAGAAAGTTATCAATAAATATATTTTTCATTGTATGCCAATATTGTTTATTCAAGCAAATAAACATTGGTACAAGAGGGCACCAAATAGATATGCGCCACGTAAATCATTTGATTTGTATGAGAGATGGGATACTGTCCAGGCGCCCGAACTGGATCAGGTGGTTTTCTGAGGGTGTTACGCTCCGAGTCTTTGACCTAAAGGTCTAATCCACAAAGCAGTGGAGCAACGTAAGGAAATCCAGTCCCATGGTTGACGGTGACCAACAATAGGTTCATACACTATTTGTTTCCTTGGGATCCTAGAGTCCATGTTCACCATTGGTTTGGAATCAGGGTTTTCCAACTCCTCTAGGTGGATCCTCCGTATCCATCAACCCTGTTAAATAGCCGGGCATTCGCTTTCAATCCTCTCAATTTCGTAAACAACAACCCTGACACAAGGACTTCCATGACAGTGATTGTTTGCATGTGGCCATGAGAGAGCGTTTCGAGAGGAAGAGCTGAGTCTCTCCACTCTCGGCCGTACCAGGGCATTTAGGGGTAATATATCCCAATGAGTAAGAAAATTGTATTTCTGACTTTTCTTGACTTAATGTAAGAGTAAATAAATAATACACCAGAAATATAATTTTTCGACTCATCGGGATATAATAAAAATGTATATTTATTATGTCTTGATTAATGTCTATGATATAATAGTTGTTCAAAGAGAAAATCAATCAACTATCTGCATGTACACAAGTAAAAAGTGTTTTTCAGAATTATCATGAAAATTTGGTCATAGTGAGATGGTTGGTGTTTATGAGATGTCTGAAAATATATTTAAAGCCCTAAATCAACTGAAATGAGCTTCAACATGAATACAACTGAGAATTACGTCTCATCAAGTCACGCCCATACGAAAATATGACCAATTATGCTAATATCCAGAAGCAAATGGTTCGAATAACCGTTTCCCTGTTACTTATTTTAATATTATCGTATAGATTGTATACCAAAACTAGCTGTAGCCTCAAGTCATTTAAAATTAGTGAGAAATGCACTTTCAAATATGCGATTTGTCAGTTGGTATACACCATGAATATATGAACATTGTGAAAGCCATCAGCACAAATAATTCAGATCAAGTATCGAAATCTAGAACGATAGTGTACCTAATTAAATTGTTACTTATCAACTCGATACGATAAAGGTAGATTCAACGAGACAAAAACGATATGAATAGAATTAAAGTGAATAACCGTGAAAATAATATGAGAAGAAAGAATAGTCAATCACAAGGCAGAGTAAACAATGAAATGGTTAGATGTTTAGTCAATCAGCAGTGACACAACCACAATCAAAACTGGAGATGTATACAGACTAGTTTTGAATTTACTTTAAATTATGGGAAGTGAAACAATAGTTTTCTCTTTAGCTTCGTACTATTTGTACCATATTATTATACGCTCTTGAGATGTGTATTCATCTGTATATATTCTTCATATTTTCCTAAGATGTTACTTATTTCAATGTCTAAAATAATAATAATTACTTACCAAACTACTTATTATAAATTCAGTAGTCACTCATTATTATTAACAGTCGGATGCCCAAAGATGGACCGATAATAACAGTAATTATTTGCCAGCCTATAAGTTAAATTGAAATATTCTCATCCATTATTCTACTAACTAGCTACTCAGAATAACTCTGAGTTATTCTCTAGTTATTGGGTCTCAGTGGAACATTTGTCAGGTTCGATGAAACATGCAACTAGAGTGTATCGCTTAAAATGAGGTAAAAATTTCAGTTTAAGAGTCAGCTATTTCATAGTTCTTCAAATGATTTACATTTATTACAAAAAACTACTTTCCAATAACGTGAACCCTTAGAAATGCTAAGGCAAGTTTAAAATCTATACCTTTCTATAGTCCTTAATTTTCAAACACAATATCAGTTACTCAGGAATGCGTAGTTGAATTATATCTTCAGTTGGTGATAATTAAGGGTAAAATTAAATCATACTGAATATAGTCTATCTTATGCTTCACCTACACTAATAACACCAGTTTTAAAAACGTGGCTACATCAAGCTTTAAAGAAGATGTTCCCACAAAGATTTATTCTGTCTCAACCTCTTCAATCGGTACACGAGATAAGATAGTCGATATACTTTGTATTATTAAAAATCAAAAACTTACATGCTTATGTACATCAAACAAAAGACCACTGCTCATCGTAAATAAAACATCTATGTCCGTACAAAAATAATTAACTTGTGATCCAGAAATTATTAACAAAAGTATAATTCATTACCAGTAATTTTAAAGAGGTGAACGAATTATCAACATTTAATGAGTTGAATGACAGCTTACAGTTAGGAAGACATAACGATAGACAAAACCAAATATCCAATATGTATACATTAACGAATTCATGCTTAATGTTTGTAGGATAGTTTTTTAGGGTTTAACCTTTTTCATCGACTCGCTATAATTCTAATGAAATCGTCTTATTGACCCTCATGTTGGAACATAGGCCGCCACAAGAATTCTCAAGACAACACTCTCCTAGGTTCTCCTTTCCAGTTGTTTACAATTGTTATTTCATTCTTTGATGCCTATATCTGATGCCTATATATGTTCATTGATCTGCCTCTATTCCTTTGGCCTACAGAATTCTAGGTTATTTTATTATTTTTATTATATCATTCATAAATGACAAAATATTCTATTTGTCAATTTACTTTATTAACAATATACTATCATTATCAGAAGGGGTTTTCAAGAGATTTAGTATGTTCGTAGTTGAAAGAGTGAGTCAATCGAAGCTAGACCACCAGGGAAGCACTGGATGGCCGTTTCGTCTTATTGTAAGACTCACCAACAGTGCGCATCCACGACCTCGCTTCGCGAGATTCGAACCCAGGACCTACCAGTCTCGCACCAGAGCACTTAACCAATAGCTTCAATTGACTCACGCTTTCAACTATGAATATACTATCAGTAAATGATTTAATGAAGTAATTAAATTAATCATGATATTCATATTTGTTTATTTAGTCAATCGATTGTGAATAATCTGTATTGTTATTTCAGAATAAAACAAAAATAAACAGATTATAATAAACACATGTATTCAGTTAGTGATTATATCTCTTATCGGTAGAATATATGAGTTGAATATTTTACAGATATTTGATTATATATTAGACTGAATATCAGTTAATGTTTAGTTGTATTTACGGGGAATGAAGGATGTTAAAGTTTAAATTGTTAATACTTAAATCAATCACTTGTTAGGATTAACTTTAGTAATCCATCGTTATGGCCGAATACTGATTTAATGATAAGAACAAACAAAACAATGAGAGCTTATGTGTGATACGTCTCGTCGATTGAACGCTATATTCGTTTCCTAAACTATTCTGGTAACCCACAGGCTAGAACTACTCAGCGACTTGAACACCAGAGAGAAGACGCAAGTATGAGAGAAACACTTTACTCCAGGGTTCATTTTTGTACAGAAAATCATGCGTATTTATAGATGTTAACGTCTGTTAAATCAACATCATATTTCAGCCAATCCATTAACGACATATTGTGTTACTGACCAATAGTAGCACGCCACGTTGGAATTCCAGAATGTTCCATCATACTCTGATTGGCTAGGGCTCTTCGGCTCCTTTTTGGGCCTCTGGAGGCTCCGTTGAAGTTCCCCGGAAGCCGACTCAACAATGTGAAAAGATTAATTCCTATTTAAAGTCAATTATCGTTGTCTTGTTTCATTTGATCAGTTGATTTTATTACTACAACCATGAGGTTGTTAAGTAAAATGAAGTAAGAATCATGATTTTGTCCTTAGTAATTTCTTTAAGAAATAATATAAAATCCGAAATTGGTTTTACTCCCTTACATATTTGAGTATATTATTGTTCTAGTAATGTTCATGCGTCTACAAGTCTGAGGTGTTGGCGTCAGTAGAATGCAAATTCAGAGATTGCATAGAATAATCCGAAAAAATACAATATTAGAAAACTACGAATGGTGTTTTCCACACACCTGATGATGACACAGTAAACTAAAAGATGAATTATCTATAACAACAACCTCGTTCTGTATTAGTCAGTTTGAATGCTCTTATGAAGCAAGCTATACTAGTCGAAGTTTTAGCAATTTACATTTTCGTGCTCACGAACGCCTTACAGAGTGGCTCAGCAAAGGTGTAGTCAAGACAGTGTACTCTTCAATATTAGTCCATTTAATGAGAACTGGATATAGAGCCAGAGTATGTCAGCTATCCCCAATCACTTATCAGGTCAGTAATTTTCTGTTACAGTCGGTCTGACTCATAATGTTCCAAACGACAGAAGCAGTAGCCATTCATATTAAAAGGATGGGACCATGTGTGCAAAAGAAATATATTTAACCCCTTCTCTTAATTTTCTCAACCTTAGGGTCAGTAAATCATTGTCATCCTTAATTATAGAATGACCTAATTTGACTAATGTACATAAAACCTTTCTTAGTCAAATATCATTGTTCATTATGGGGTTGTGGACATTGTTGAGTTTCATTGGAATCTAGAATCAATATAAGTTAGATAACCATTTAAAACTTGGAAACACTGGATAGCTGTTTTGTTCTGGTATGGGACTCCTCAACAGTAAGCACCCACGACCCTGTAAACAGGAATCAAATCCAGGACATTTGATCTCGCACCCAAATTCCCAACCTTTAGATAACAGGGACGGTATCCGAAGTTGTATATGTCTAACTTCAATCAATCCGTGATACTACATGGCCATCTTTCTATGGAACTGGTCTGTGTTGAGTATGAAGCAGTTACCCAACGAAGACAATGGAAAATAATCGCACTA